TTAAACAACCTAAAACTAAAGATTTGTTTCTATTTGCCTTATGAATGGTATGGAACAAATAGAATTGACAAGATTTTGATTCTGTTAAAATGAGTGGAGCAAGTTATGTGTCTCTAATCCACAAACTTGGAAGTTTATGTTAAGAGTTTGGGCTTCCTCACTATTTTATTATTGGACCTTATTACTTGAAAATTATTGGAGGTCTAGACTTCTAATATTCTCGCGTTTTTGGAATAATGTTTTTGGTGCCCCTTGTGTATGGGTGTGTGTTGTACATGTGGCACACCCTCAACCTTTGGATAGAATCGGTTCAACTGGATTGATATTTTTACTTGGTTCTTGGTCTTCATATGAGTTAAACAATCACTCTCTAGAATTTTATTTCTCTCTCTGTGTGTGAAAGTTTGTTCGTGTTCTTCTTATCTCTGAAAAAGTAACTTTGAATCTGAGGATTTCTTTCCTTCATGTAAGGATTGTAGTTTTGTAGTGATCTTTGTAAGATCTTTGAGAGGAAACTTTGTGAGGAAGAGGCCAGAGAAAATAAGAAGAAATTTTTTATTTCTTCGCACATTAGTACAATTTTCTTTGTGAAAATTAGTGGAATCTCGAGCATATCTTTTGATAGAGGCTCAACGAGTGATTAGGTCTTTGAACTGAACATCCGAGCTCCTTTGGAGCAAAACATATCTGGTGTTCTTTTCGATTTTTACTGTTTTGTGGTTTCTGCCATTTTTAGTTTTGTAAAAAACCTTTCAAGATGTATTTGCTATTCCCAACAATGAGAGTTAGAATTAAAATTCATGTCCTTCCTTTTCATCAAAATTACATCAATGCCAAAATGAAAATATAGAAAGAATAAATAAAAAGATCATATACTTTCTGCTCAAAAAATGAAAAATCAAACCCCGCAAAGTTGACATTCAATGCAATGATAAAACATTAAAAAACATTACACATTTTAATTGATTAAAGGTTCCTAATATTTCTACACTTAATTTTCATCTTTTTTTCGTCGTATTCTTATATTAAATCTTTCATTAATGAGAACATATTGTCCCTGATAACAATTTGCATCCAAATATTGTTGTTAACTTAGTTTAAATAAAACGGCAAATATCTACTCGTACTTTTGTATTTGTTATTTTTTTCACTTATTTAAAAATATGAATGGCAGGTAAGTCTTTTTTTTTAACTTCCTCGAAATAGAATTTTTGGATGGAAGTCAATATTAGATGTACAAATTAATTGAAGGTTGGGAATAAAAATACGGTCAGAAAAAGTCAATAATATAGGTCGATAAAAAACTTTAACGTAAATATAACCCAAATTAAAAATTAATCCTGTCATTTGAGAAGAAATAATATAGATACTATTTCATACGTCCTATATTAATTACTTTATTGTTTGCCTCTTCTATTTCTTCGTTTTGTATCTAAGATTCTAAGTATATATTTCACAATTTTAAGGTATTCTTGATATTTCGCACTACTATTTGGTCATTTTATTAAGTTTCTCACCTGAATTTCAGCTCTAACATTCAATACGGTTGTTCATTGCATGTATAAAAGCACATAAACATTGAGAAAACAATTCAAGAGCAAAGCCCCCAATTTTTTGGAAGGATTTGAGATCTTCATGTCTAATTTGGGCAAAATTATTGTTCTCCTTCCTTTCCTTTTCGCATGCGCTTTCGCGAGGTTTTCTTCCCTCAATCATGTTGAGGAAGGAAAACCAATCGATGTTCATGCAGGTTATGGTGGAATCACCACCAGAAAAGGTGGCAATGGATCCGAAAATCAGGATTACGAATCAGATCCGTACTACGATAAGAAACCCGTAAATGGAGACGAAAAGGATGAGGAAGGAAACAATAATTGGCCCAGAGGTGAACATAGATTCCCGTTCCTGTTCCCTTTCCCATTCTCATTCCCATGGTTTGGCAACCATAAAGAACCACGAAAAGAAGCCAAAGAACCGGCTGCCGTCACCAAAAACGAGTCAAAACCGGATTTTGAGACAAACTTTCTAGGTTCATGGAAGGTGGATAATCCAAATTCTGGTGTTTCAGCCATGCACGTACAACTCTTGCCAAATAACAAGGCTGTTTGGTACGATACCGTGAACCTCGGTAGATCAGACATCCTGGCCGATCCTCCAGCGTGCCGTCGGCTCGTAGGAGGGAGACGGGGTGACAAAGGACTCGACTGCACTGCTCATGCTATTGAATACGATGTAGAGACAGCCCAAGTCAGAACCATGAAGGTTTGAATTCTTCATTCCTTAGCATGCATGAACGGCTTTATTAATGCAATAACATGTGGCATATGAAAATTATTGTAGTATCAAATAACATTTTTGTAAAAGATTGTTATCTAGCTCCAATCATACTAAGCCCTTGGGGTGGCAATTGAACCGAGCAGCTCATCGACTCATCTGAGCTCAGCCCATGGGCTGCTCGAGCTCATCTAGGGACAAGTGCGAGTTAGGAGTCCAAAAAAAATTTGGACGAGCCAACTCCTAGGCCATCAAAATTTTGAAAATGTATTGTTTGATAGGCGTGTGAGTGTGTATGTATGCGCATGCGGGGGAGCTCAACTTGGCCCTTGAGCTCACGAGTGTTGTGGGTTCGTACGAGCCAAGCTCATGTCAGATCAGCTCATTTTAATGTAAATCAAAATCAAAAAATTAAATTTTAATCACATATTTTATGATGTCCACAACTTTACAACCATAAATTTCATCAATTTTTATCAAAATTTACTAAAAATTTAATTTTAATTCTCATCAAAGAAGCTAAATAATATATTTTAAACAATCATGCTTCTTCGTCAAATTATTTGCCCACTTCCTTTGTTGGCATTCTGCCATTAGATTGTTAAAAAAATAAAAAATCAATTTTTGTATACAATCATTTGTTACTAACACTGCATCTGTCAAGTAAGTGGGCAAAAAATTCCATACAAATGGCTAAATCCTCTTTAAAATATCATTTTTTCCGTGATACTCTTTTTCTAATACATTTGTTTATAATATATATATAGAACATTAATCAGCCCTAGATGATTGATCCCAAGAGACTATCGACAAAAATATCTTAACGTTAAAAAGATTTAATTTTTCAGATGGAATATGATCCATGGTGCTCATCAGGAGGTATGTCACCAGACGGAGCCCTAGTCAGCACAGGTGGCAATCAAGAAGGATTTCGAACGCTCAGAATTTTCAATCCATTCAGAAACTTCGAGTTTCAAGAAAAGCCGGGAGCACTTTCAGCCAATAGATGGTAAAAGAAATTAAGTTACGATTTTATTCAGTAATACATATCAAACACGTACTTGAGAATTTTTGTGGACTGGACTTGTAGGTATGCTACACAAATTCTGCTGGAAAATGGTAGCTTTGTTGTGGTCGGTGGTCGTGCCGCACACAACTACGAAATAATTCCATCAGATAAACTGAATTTTCCAATTCAACAATTTGGCCTACCCCTCCTTGAAGAAACACAGCATGAGAAAGAGAATAATCTCTACCCATTTGTTAATCTACTCCCAGATGGGAACATTTTTGTATTTGCAAACTACAAATCCATCATCCTCAACCCTTACACCGGAGAAACCATTCGCAGCCTCCCTGACTTGGCCGGTGGTTCCCGGAACTACCCGGCTTCAGGAATGTCAACACTACTCCCGATCAATCTCAATGTAGAAAACCCAGAAAACGTTGATGTCGAAGTGATCGTCTGTGGTGGCAACACAGCTGATGCATTCAAGTTTTCCGAGTTTCCGCCAAGAAAATTCTTCCCTGCATTTAAAGATTGTGGAAGGCTGAGCCTCACTAAACAAGGAGCTCAATGGGAGAAAGAGGATATGCCATCACCACGAACCATGGGCGACTCGCTTCTTCTTCCAACTGGAGATATACTCATAATCAATGGCGCTCAGGCCGGTACTTCAGCATGGGATGCTGCAGAAGCTCCGAATTTCAAACCTGTACTCTATAGACCCAACAAAAAGAAAGGCGAAAGATTCAAGGAATTAACACCAACAAACATACCTCGTATGTACCATTCGACCTCTGCAATTTTACCTGATGGACAAATCCTTATAGCTGGAAGCAACACCAACGAATACTATAAATTCAACAAAAAAGACAATCCCGAAATGATTTATCCTACTGAATTGACTGTCGAGAAATTCTCACCACCATATTTGGCTCCTGAGCTTCAACAATATAGACCACAGATTTTAGAGGTCCTTTCAGACAAAAACCTTGAGTACGGACGTGAATTCATTGTGCAGATCAGATTATATGCACAAATTGATCAGTCTGATATTAAGGTGACTATGTACTCACCACCATTCACCACCCATGGGTACTCCCAGAACCAAAGATTGCTTATTTTGGGGCTCAAGCAAGTGACAAATCAACAAATCACTGTGGTCGCACCCCCATCAGGGAAGCTTGCTCCTCCCGGCTACTATCTTCTCTTTGTTGTTCATCGTGGTGTGCCAAGCCGCGGAATGTGGGTGCACATCAAGTAAAAAACTTCCATTCCTATGAATCTTTAGTTTTGCCTAAATTAAATCTGTTGTACACAAACTGCATTAACAATGCAGTTTCACTTGCAATAGATCCATTTCAGATATTATCTTCACTGGTTCATCCATTAGCATTCATCATCATTTTTCTTTTTTCTTTTTTTTTTTTCGAAATGTAGTATATGTTAATCTCCAAATCCTAAGAAATCAGTAATGCAGAGCAAAACTCAAGAATAACACTGAGTATCCTGGTTGGCCTATCAAGCATATATCCGTGGAATAGAAAGCAACTAATTATGACTAATAAATATCCCGGGACCTCCCCGGACTGACTGAAACAAGGTGCGGGTCTTTACCAACTTCAAAACATTCGATTATAGGGAAACCATAAAAACTGAGCGCCCCAATGCGAGCCTTATTGAAAAGGAATTTATTTCTTCTAAAACTTATTTACTTACAAAATTTTTTAAACTTAAGCCATATATGCTGCAAATTGGACTCTTTATGGTCACCTTCCATATCTCATGTTAGTCTATAAACAATTAAGAATTCAGCATCAATTCTCCCCCGCTAAAAAAACTCAAACGGAAGACAAAACTGTTCCAAAAGACTAGGGAGGACTTGCAACTGACTAAGCTTCAATAGTGTCGAATCCTTTATAGGAACAAACTTATTAATCATAAGATTGCTAAGTTGGAAGGAATATCTCCATTGTAACCAAATTCTTCCACCTTGTCACAAAGTCACGATCAATATAATACGATACTGAAAGCTACCATAGGAAACAAATTGCGCTGCACATTTTCAATAAATCCACCAATAGAACAAGTTCACACATAATATCTGCAGAAACAATATTGCTGCAACTTCATATCAGTAATCAATGAATATAATTTTCCACTACATCAAATGCGACTGTAGTAGGTACTCGTTTTCCCCCCTGTTTTACAATTCCTTCCTTTGGCTGGAATCCTCCACTGGTGTTGGCCCACATAAATAGAACCGGATTGCCAACATTCTTATCAAAACACTACTTCTCCAATACTCTTTTTCATTTTCTTTTGAAATCAATGAATAATGCTTTCTCATCAGTGTAGGTCTCCAAAATCCACTCCCTTGATTCCTAGGATCTGTACGCTATAGAGGGTTATTCGGCATTAAATTCGTCAAGCACATTTAGATGGTCATATCTTCTTGTATTTGGAAACCCACTTGCATAGCATCACTTAATGTATTAAGCATAAATAAAAATATTCGATTTGTCTAAAGAAAAATAATAATAATCAAGAGGCATATCGTGGCTTTAACCTGTTTCTACACATGGAAATGGTAAGTTCTACATTCCACTGAAAATCACGAGTACGAAGGTTATAGAACAAAATTATGCACTATTTGATATCATATTCTATTGCCCAAATTTATGAACTAAAAAATGGTTGGTTGTAACTGGGAGAATGAAAGTTGCATGATGACTTGCTTCACCTCTTCCCACATTCTTATCCATACCATTTCTCCTAAATTTCTTTGCCAATTAATCCGCCATACATGTACAGTTCATTTTGGTTTTTAACTTCTGCAGAATAGGTCAACATACCTTTTTAAATTCAACTAATCAACAAACAAGTCTCCACAGCCATCTTCATATAAATCTGAATGTACTGTTACTATGTCACCGGCCATCAATGTGCGTTCCTCACCAATTTCAATTTTTATGCTATTTTGAAACATCAAATTTCAATGGAAGTTCTCTTGAATCGTTCTACTTTTATCACCCTGATTCAATAGAACATACAGAAGAGAAACTAGATTAAACTAAAAGATGCTCTAGCCCTGGTAAAAAATGTCGGAAAAGCGTGCATAAGAATCTTGTTGATAATATAAAGTTGACCAAATTTATACGTTGGATTTACAGAATGTGGCTGAAAATTGGGAAGTGTATTGGGTTAGAAGAGTTGTACCATTAGCTGATATAGACGAGAAGAAATTCAGCTTCTGATTTGCAGTTTAATGAGCAGTAGCATGAACAAGAAATTTTAGGAAACAATAATGTTTTAGTCTTTACATTTTGGAAAGGGATGGTCTTTACAATAAATTAATTTCATGACTGGAGAAATAGTTATAGTGCTGCAATCATGAGGAGGAAGTACGAGAGGCTGCAAAAGAAGAAGAAAGAAGAGAGGAACGTGTAGAAAGAAAGAAAAGAAATCCCCAAAAAATCCTCTGGATAAACACACCAATTAATCTCTATTTTTTATAATAATCAACTTTATAGGAATTGAAGGATCACATGAGTATTCGTAGGCTACATACTAATAGTGATTAGATATTAGGATTCTTAGCACCTAACTAGAAATTAATTTTAACGTCAGGTAAAATTATAGCGAACTAAAAAATACAGAAATTGCTCTTAAAAATTTTTTAGGTAACAACTGAAAAATTAATTTTTTGTGTTACTGGCATCTTAACAGAAAGTACTTAACAATACCATAGAATATGAGCCATCTCACTCAAAATCTTTCACCTATGAAGCACAAAAACCACACAGTAACTTAAGAAAGACTACAGTTCATGATACCTTTTGTAAAACACTTTCTTAACCATAATACACGGTGCTGACAAATAATTTCAAAAGCTATTTTCAACTTGAAAACCTTTAGGTTTACGTTTCTTGAATAAAATGAAGCACGAGTAATTCAATCTAATTAAGCTTCTAATTGTTTTTTTAAATAAACTTTCTCATAATTAAATAGAAGACATGTAAAGCATGGCAATTTAAAGAATGTCCAAGATCAGTTTTGAGTTACTTTCCCAAGCACTTTTATGTGACTAGGAGCGCCTGGATTCCTATAATTCTTATTATTGCGCATTCAGACTACATTATGATAGTTTTGAGTACAAAAACAAGTAAGGAATTAAGCAGTAAGTGACCATAAAACTTAACAAGTTCAACCACAAAGCTCTTCATTTGAAAAGTAAAAAAATAGAACAAAAAACAAAAGATTTGTTAATCATATAACAAACAGAACAATAGAGAAATTTTAACTAGATAACAGAACATGAAGGAAATTATAACCTTGGGGGCAAAAGTTCAAAAAATCATATCCTCGTCATTTTCCCAGTATTCATAGAAACGAAAAAGGAGAATATCTATAACAAAGAACAAAAAATAAATAAAATCTTTTTCATCTTTTCAGAAACCAAAATACTTGCATTGATTCATCACTCCAAATCAAAAAAAAGTTACAATAATCCATACTTATTTTGTCAAAACATAATCACATGCTACAGATGTAGACACCAAGAACAATAAGAAAAGTACCAAACAGTGCCCGCAATATAAGCGTCTCCTCTCCAAGAATAATCCCGAATACTGCAGTGGAAGCAAACGTGGTGGCATTAGTCACAGGGACAGCTAAAGAAATGGGAGTATCACTCAAAATTGCAAAGAATGTGGCTGACGCCGAGAGGTTTATTAGAAAAGGCAAAGTGTACTGCCAAATCAATAGAAGTTTGAGCCAGTTCTTGAGGGTACTTAGAATTGGGTGCTGGCCCTGGGACCTGTTAGGTTGCAGAGTAGATTTCTGTGCTTGATCCCACATAATGGCGCCTTTACGCATCAAGGCATTTGTCGCCCCCCAGACGAGGCCTACTGCCACCATCTTCCCCACATCTCCGCCCATATCTTTGCCGATCGAGATCAATTACACTGCAAATTATCTCCTGAAGTTAATCTAAATTATCGACGAATCTATTCGGCTATCACGAACCTGCAAGGGAAGCCGATCCAAGTTAGGATAAAACGCAGGAAAATTGCAATATTGATCCAAACCTTTAACTCTTGTACCATCTTGGTATCTGAGTATTGGAGTCTTCAAGATTTCAGTAACGTTTTGAGGTACTGTTCGTTAGAGAGTTTGAGAATTAATTTTTTGATCATTAGGAGAAACATGAGGGTTTATTTATAAGAAAAGAAGTCAAAAATTACGATTGAAATAGTGAAATAACGATCAAAAAATTAATTTTTGGGATGAAAAATCACTCCCAAACACCCCCATAATTTCCGTCTTAAGTGGCAGTTAACATGTCTTTTAAAAATAAATAAATAATAATAATAATAATAATAATAATAACAACAACAACAACAACAAACCTAAAAAGACAGTTAAAATAAAGTTTAAAATTGATCTCCTACCTTCAATGGACAAGATAAAAACTTCACACTATAATATGACAAGAGAAGTATTAGGTGCAGCAAATCGATGTTGTATAAGGTTTTGGGTACTCTTTATAGAGTTTTTAAAAGTATCGATTTTCGATGTTTATTATAGTAATTTTTAAAACAATCAACTCATGATTGCAAGTTACGAGTTTTGAAAGTTTTGTAAAAAAATTAAAAAAAAATTACATATATATTAATAATATTTGTATATGGATGTCATTGACTCAAATTTTAATAGATTTATTATATTTATAAATTCTCTTAAATTTCTTCGATTTTAATATAATTTAAAAGATTTCATGAAATTTGAATTAGTTTTCTATATTAAAGACTTTAATATATTCCTATGGAATTCATAAATACTCATGGGTTTTTGACTTTTTGTTAAAAAAAAAAAAAAAAATTACTTTTACCTCCTCAATTACTTAAAGCAACTTGCGAATCGGAACTTTAGAGAAAATTATAAATTTCAACATATCATTTCAAGTCTATTTTTTCTTTTATAAACAAATTATATTCGGAGGAGCAACTTGCTCTAAAATTAATGTTGACATCCCAACTCTCCATGAAAGTGCACCATTTACTTTGTTAAACATTAGACTAGTAGCCAGAAAGTAACCAAGTAAATATACAACTAATTCATTATCTATTGAAGAATGCTGCTCTATCAGGCTGAAGTTCACAGGCCTTGTACAGGCTCCTCACAATGAGGTGGACCTGAGATCGGATCCACTTGTAATAAAAAATTACAAAAATGCTGACCCCATCTGCTTTTGTGTGAGGGCCTGTAAGACCCATAGGAGAAAGGGACCTGGCAGTCCAACAGCACTCTTATCTATTTATATATATTAGTCAAAACTGAATGTGCATTGCACGTTATACTAAAATACTTTATAAGTGATGTAAAAGTAATATTTGATACTAATTTGTTGTAGGATTTGATAAGTATCGGAGGAATTAAAGAAAATAAAATTTAGCATATAAATTTAAGAGAAGAATACTGTACTATTAAAACTCAATTTTTATGATTCAAATTTTTCATAATGATGAAATACTATAAATGAGCAATTTTTTTATATTACATTTGATACATAAAAATTAATTGCTAATACACAAATTTAAACACCTATTAAAATTTTCAGATACATGAATATGAATAAATTTATAGATTCATGTAATTCAAGATTGATCGAGTGAAAATTCATTAAATCTAGATTAATGTGAATGTTAATTAATTGAGAATTAATAACACAAATTTCATGAATGAAAATAATTTTATAGTATTTATTACATATCGAAAAATGAAAAGTAAGATATTATTGAAATAATTGAATTTTATGAGGGGTTAAAATCGTCAAAAAAATAATTCTTCATTCATGTAATATTCTAATATATTATAGATTATAGATGATTTACATTTTAGATATTGCAAATTAGTGACGGGATGTTTATTACTTTTAATAGAATTCTAAATTATATGTTTTAAAGGAGTCCGAATCATTTTTTATTTTATTTTTTTTATTTTTACTTTGATCGCTCGTGGTGCACAAATTGAATTTTTTTTTTTTTAAACCAAAAAATAAAACAAGAAAATGATAACTTCTTACTGGATCATCCAAAAGAGAAATAACATTGTGATTAGAAATAAAATTCATAGAATTCCTAAATTGATTTCTAATTCGCTTTCTATGATCATCATTTTCTACTAGAAATTCATTATTGGATTCCATAGTAGGTGGGAAAGACATATAACTATTGGATGACGAAGCATTGATTGATTGATTATGCTAAGTTTGTATATATGCCTCTTGACTTTTATCAAACACATATAGAGTTCGATTGACAAAACTTTTACTTTTGCAAAAGAGCTTTTTGGATGAAGATAGTTTAATTTTTGTTCGAAAACTAATTTTTAAAAGAGATTTTTATTCCATAAGTGTTTTTAGAGAAAGTCATATTGGATTAACTTCTTCTAAAATCTCTTATAATCAAAAGAAGTACTTTCATAAAACTGGCTAAACGGGTCCAAAAGTACTTCTAAAATCTCTTCTAATCAAGCAAGTACTTGGCGCTTCATTTGGCGGTCAACAGACGCAAAGCGAGGCTAAGGCGCCTAAGCGCGCATTATTAGGTTTTTTTCTTTTTTTTCTTTTTTTTTTTTACTTTTTTACAATTCTTTTAAGTTAAAACTTATAATTATTAATTAATTTTTTCATTGATTACAAATTTAAAATAATATTAAAATAAGAAAACACTTTTTTAAGCATTCGCCTAATCTCGCATTGCCCTTAACTTGGTATCAACATATAGCCACCTATTATGCATTTTAGAACACTGATCGTGACATATATGATTTCTTCACCTCCATGAAACCCAAACAAATTGAGTTCCTCCTTGTAGCAGTTGCATTGCCAATTGATCTACCAGAAAAATTTATATAAAAGCTCATCTAGAAATAATTATCCCACACTTCATCGTAAAATTTTTCTTCGTGACTCTTCTATTTATAATCTCACGATATAGTCCATGAAATAAATTATGAGTTGTGTATATGTTAGTTAATACAAAACACAATAGATCAAACAAATAATTCTTCTATTGCAAAGAGCAAGAACAAATCTAAAGGGATCAAACAAATCATTCTTCTATTCCACCCAAGATGATCTTATCCTAGTTCAATGATTGAAAATAACAAAAATTTGTGAAATAATCTGAAGGGATTTTCGGATTGTGAACCCAATCCTAATTAAAAAAAAAAAAAAAAAAAATTAGAGAATGATAATGAGATGGCTTTTAATTGCCAGAAACGAATCTCATGAATTTTTGAATTCCATGAATGAAATTCTTGTTTTGCTCAATTTGAAGTGGCTACTTATTAACTCCTCAAATTTTAAGTCCGATTCGTTGCTTAACATGCATTCTTAGGATTTTAATTTTTTTAAAATGATTAAATTAAATTTTCAACATACTCATTCCCTTTAACCACGAGCCTTACACAACATAATATTCGCGCGCATTTGAATTACTAGTTGGATTCAAAATGTCGAGAAATTAGGTGCTTGCCATTGATACTTAGAATTTCCGTACACCCAAACTTGAAATCACCACCTAAATTTATGCTTATTTTTTTGCGACAAGCAAATTATTGTTTAACATGTACAAAATGACCAGTGATCGAATTTCAATGGAAAGCAAGTTGAACTTGGTTTCATTTGTTAACTGGCCGTAGTGAATAAACCTTGGAGAAATCTACTTGTCATGTATAACCTCATATATGTAGGTTTAGAACACATTAAATACACGAATGTGCTAACATGAGATGACCTCACAAATGTCGATTCAAGTCAAAGCCCCCATGAAATGATGATTAGGCTAGAAATAAAATTTGTCCACTACGAAGTTTAAATTGATATAGCCCGAATCTAATTTTAGTAGGAAAAAGGTCATTGAACATCTAATTTTAATCTACGTTCCTTGTAAAAATGT